AACTCCTCCTCTTTCGGCGTTATCATTTGGCTTTTTCTTCTGCGCCTAAAGCTCCTCCGAGCGCTGGAAAGATTCCTTTGGCTGGAGCACCTTTGCCTGCCTTTTCGACCCCTTCCAAATCGCCTGTATCGCCTGTCCCTTTGAGTACCACTCCAACATCTTCACCGGGCGGCTTCTTTGGGTTTAACACCCCAAAGAGCGCGATGTCGCCGCCCGCCACGACACCAGTTCCGGCCTCGAAAGGCTTCTTTGGCATTCAGCCCACTGCGCCATCCTCTCCATCGCCTGCTCCGAACTCCTGCTCCCTCCCCGATGGCACCTCCGCCAGAGGCGACAATGGAAGAAGGAATGCAAAAGGAATGTGCTCTCCTGTTCGCAAACATGACGCGAGAGCTTGAAGATGTACGTCTTCTTCGCAACCACCTACCTGGTGTTCTCCTGATCCTGTTTTTTTAGTTCCGTTCGTTGGCCCAGGCCGCGAATCAAAAGAGATCAGAGCTTAGCAAGTCCGCGGGCGGTTCTCGACGCGCCATTGACTTGGGCGACCGAGCGAAGTGGGCGCTTGTGGATGCGGTACAATTCGGGCCAAACTATGCGGCTGTACTGAGCAAGATCTTGCTGATTTGAAGGAAGAGAAAGCGCAACGCGAGAAGTCGCTCAGAGAGTTTCAGAGTAACTTGCTGAAAGGTATGATGACGCCTCTTCACTCATTTTATTCCTTATCTAATTCACAACCAGCTGGAACTCGCCGAGAGGAGATTGGACGATTCCTCAAGGCACAGCATGACAACGATTTCGCGAAGATGCTGAAGGCTCGGACGCTTGGTCCCTGAGCATCTGGAAACCCAAACGCACTTGAGGAGAAGTATTCGGGTGCGTATTTGTGCTTGTTTTTGTTCCTTCTTTCGCCTGATTAATTTATTAGACCATGCAAGATCGCATTCAAAAGCTAGAGTCGCATCTTCAGGAGTCTAAGAAACGGCTTAGCAGGGCAAACTCGGGAAACCCAGGCCTCCGGTGAGTTTAGAAAGCGAAAGTTTGCTCATCTAATTATCCTCAGCGCTCCCACGCTTGACACTTTGAATCGGACGTTCCGAAACATGGATATAGCACTGGACAACCAAACCAGCGATGTTGAGAAGCTAACCGCTCGTGTTGCGAAACTCAACATGAAGACCGGTTCCCGCAACGGCCATGCTGCCAGCGCCCGAGATGCTCGCCTCCCTGATCCTGTCTCGAGACAACGGCCGTTCAACGTCACCCCACATGTCGCAGTGACCACCGCAGCGGCTCTAAACGCCGAGCGATCTGCACACAAGCTGAAACGGGCGCTACTATCAGTGCGCAAAGAGCCTCTGCTGAATACTCAGGCCGCATCTGCTCCTCCTGCACCTCTGGCATTCAACACGCCGAAGAGTGGCTTCGGGATAGGCCTTGGATTGGGTGTCCCAGTCACTCCGATTAGAGGCCTGTCTTTCGGCTCTCCAGGACCTTCGACTTCGTCCTATGGCAGGATTTGACTTCCCCGAAGATAACTTCAACCCGTCTCCCCCACCGCCCGTGAGACGAGGAGCCGGGGGAGGGAGCGGGAAAAGCCGCATCTCCAATTCCGTCCCGCTCAAACGCACTGGAATTCCGACTGCTACGCCATCTCCCCCTCCATTATTCGATTGGGGACCGTTGCCGAACTTCCAGAAAAAGGCGACCCCAGTATCTCCCGAGAACTCGTTGAGCGGCTCTTGGGTCGCCGATGGATTTGGAAAGAAGTAGTACGTACATAGTGGTCGATCGCAGAGAATACAAGATTCCTTCCTTATTAAGGCACCTGGACGGTGGACATTGCGCAGGTTTGCCGAGCTCACATTTTTTTCAGTCACTGCTACTTATTGAGTTCAATATCGAGGCAGAGCAACAGTATCTCCACAACCGCTCATCGACAGCAAGACAAAGCAAAAGTATTACACATGCAACGCAAACCGCTAGAGATCAAGGAAGCCGTGCCATCTGGCGTATTGGTATTTTCGGCTTCACTGGCCTCGCCGCCGTCAGCAGTTCCCGTTCACCGCCCCGTTTGCTGCAGGTTGATCTTCTGGATAATAGATAATAGACTCGAGATGCGCGAGAGCCGCCTGTGGGATGGGAGGCCAAGTTCTAGTATGGGGCATATCGGTTATCGTTGACGAAATCGCTGCGCACCCTCCCGACTTCGCTGAGTTCCTGATCCTCGTCGCCGGTGAACACCTCGAAACCTCCGTTATCCGGGTCGATAAACGCGTCCATGTCTTCTTCATCCGAGGCAGTCGCCTTGTCAGGATGCAGAGCTGCACACCGAGATAGGGCCTCGAATATTGGTTCCACTATCAGTTGGAATTACATTATTTTTTCTTCATCAAGAAAGCTGGGATGAAACATACGAGACGCGGCACTTTGAGGTACGATGGAAAGTTCGCGCATGTCGCTCATCTCGTCAGTTAGAAGCAGCTCCCTCTGCTTCCCCGGCATATTCATCGAGCTGGCAATATATCGAGGGCCCGGTTGCGGCGCGAGACTACCGCATGAAGGGTTATCGCGGGGTACTCGATTTGAAAACCGCGTCCAGTCGTAGACATGAACACTAGAACGCTGGATTGAATCGTTTGGTGGTGCGAGAACACCAAAAGACACGAAACAAACCTCTCTATAATGTACAATGTGCCCTGAGTGCCATCCTGCGCTGAAAAACCTTCCAACGGAGGGTCAAGCGTTGCCGAGACGTTATCCTCCTTGTGGCGCAGAACGGGAGGGATATCGGTGAAGGAGATGGGTGTTTCGGCCGCAATAGTCGTAGTGCTCTTCCCGGGAAACGAAATGGGGGACGTTGGTGATCACCGTTGCGGAAGGCATCTTGGTTCGGTTCGAGCGCTTAAAAATTGTGATGTGCATGGCGGGCCGGATTCTACCCGGTTCTCTTACCGCTCCGTGTCTTCCTGCTCCTCCATGGACCCTTCAGCTTTGCTTGCCCACATCATCAAAAGCACTCGCCAGAACGTCGAATTCCTTGTAGTCCCAAAAGCAAATATCGGCTGCAGATGGCCGCGATATCTTGTCTAAACTCCCGAATGCTTTTGACAGGTCCATGGTTGCTCTCGAGCAGCAGACTCAGACTCTCCTCATAACTCCTCCTCCTTCAACGGCGCCCAGCTATAATCAGTCACAGATTGTGCAGGCAAAAGCTCTATGGGCTTACAATGAGGGACGGGTTCGCTGTTTTCGTTGCGTTGAATGCCAGTCTAGTTTTCATCAAGCCTTCTAGGACTCGAGTGACCTGTCCTTCCGTGCTGGCGATACGATAGAAATTGTTACCGAAACAAATGCGGACTGGTTGGTACTCTAGGTGGCTCGTTACATGTTGCTCAAATATTCGTCCAGGTGGACCGGTCGATACAATGGCAAGCAGGGCCTATTCCCTTCCAACTACGTAGAAAAACTACCGCCTTCGGTACCCTCGCCGTATCAAGTGCGCGAGTCGTACTCGGGAAATCCCTCCATGCCTTCGTTCCCCAGCCAGTCTACATCCACATACCAACCTCCAAGTGGGCCTCCGTATCAGCCGCCGTCTGGTCCTCAAGGTCCTTATTCTGGCCCAGGGTATCAACCACCTGGCCAGGGATATCCAATCACCGAGCAGCGGATATCAACCACCTTCTGGTGGATATCAGCCAGTGTACAACCCTCCGTCGGGCCCGCCTCAAGGCGGACAGTACAACTCTTACGATGGTTCTCCTCCCATCGTCGGGAAGCCAACCCAGGCATCTCCCCCTGCTGCCCCAGCACCACAGCAACCTCCAAAGAAAAGCAAGTTCGGCAACCTTGGAAACACTGTGTGTACTATTCTCGTTCCTCTGAGCTGTTTCTAACGTATCTATAGTTGGCTCAGTCGGCTGTTGGTGGTGTGGGCTTCGGCGCCGGTACGTCTTCCCACTTTGTCGGGGAAAAAAATCTCTCATTTATTTGTTCTTCTGCAGGTTCGCCGTCGGCAGTGGTATCGTCAATGCTATCTTCTAATTCATATGCGTTATAGAACTGGGTGTATGCTTTAATCCGGATTTGTATCACTATTCAACACTAGAGCAAACACGATGTAAATTACCTTGTTTTTTTAGGTATTCGACATGTCAACTAATTACAACTCTTCAAAAACGACTCCAACGCTCACCTCGCCGGGCCTTCTTTGTCCCATGCATTGGTCATCTCCACCCTCAACCGCTCGACGTTTTCCCGCTCCTCTTTCCTAACGTGGGTGCGGAACTGGTCTTTTACCTCCCGAATCTCTTTCGCTACGGTCTCGCATGTCCCTGCGGGAGTGGTCTCGCTCCCGTAGGAAAGTTTGAGTCCCAGGCCGGTCTTCACTTCTATGAGTTCAAGGCAAATCGAGGTAGCATTGCGCGATAACAGGTTATTACGGGGGTGCAGTAAACGCCGTGACGGCGAGATTAGAGGCCGCGATGGCGGGTTAGTGGAAAGAGCCCGCGACAGTCATTTATTGTTGTAAGGACAAAGAAGGGCTGAGACTACCATGCACCCATGCACTCTGAGAGCGAGTGTCTTCTCCGGTCGCCCGTATTGAAAATGTAGACCAGTCGTCATATAAATTAGTACTTGGTGCATTGCACATCGCATCAGTGGTGTAGAGGAAAAATTCCTTTTTCTAGAAGGACATTTCTGGAAGAGAAGCGCGACATCGAGAGTCATTGGAGCTGGCAGTGAGTCGTCCAAATCGGCCATCGCATATCCAAGCTTGTAGCATGCATCAGTGGTGTCGCGGTAACGTTGGGTCTTCCTAGGGGGCGCGACACCAGGAGTCATCAGCGGATGGAGAGAGGTTGCAAAATTCATAAGGTGCACCCCATCCACCCTTGACTAACGACAAACGCCAACGCGCTGAAGACCAACTAGCCTCAGGCGTCGCGAAAATCGGACTTTTCAACATGTGTATTATTCCCCTACACCTCTTTTCCGTAGCATCAGTGGTGTAGCGGTAACATTGGGTCTTCCCAGATTATGTGATGTCAATTGGCCTAGCTCCGGGTTCGACTCCCGGCTGATGCATTTCATTTTGTGACCGAAAGATTTCTTTCTTGCCCTTTCCAATGTTCTGCGGTAAAATAGCCCCATAAACCGCTCTTCGTTCCCACACAGCCTAGCAAAGTATGTGTTAGCTCTTGGTCAGCTCGTAGGATCAGCTAATAATTCCCACGACCTCCGCAACTCCATCGGTTGCCATCGACTCAGAGTCGCGGTTTTTATTCAACTGGAGCTCAACTGTGATGTTTGTCGTGGGATCCTATTTTACACATCCTGAGATATGACCCCCCTTCAAATTTATCTTCAGAAGGAATCCGTAGACTCCGACTGGTATCTTGACAGACTAACCACGCGTAACGTTCTATAGTCGCGGCCATCACCAATTGATCGCAACACCATAGTATTGGCTGATCCAGAGATCAAGCACCGCTTGAGAATCTAGTAGTTCAGGATTACTGTAGTGCTGGCAAGGTTCGGTTCGGTTCGAGTTCGAGGCACTTCTGCCCGAACGCCGAACCTGAACCTGGCGTTCGGTTCGGGCATCTCCTGAACCCAGAACCTGAACCCGCGTTCAGGTTCAGTTCAGCGTTCGAACCCGAATTTTGATCGGGCTTCTCGGGCATTTGAAAACTGGGTCAGAAGACTCACCTATAGGCTATATCTATGCAACCACCTTGCTAAGGGATCCTTCAGTTCTGTTCTGACAATTTAAAGTGGGACAAAACAACAAATATGGCAGTTAACAACTTCAATACTCACCAACTCTGTCCTATTCCAACCCGAAGAGCCCGAAATTTATTCCTAAGTGGGCTCCGAGATCACTAAGGGTCTGTGGAATGATTCAGTGAGGAGCATGAATGCAAAAACTAGCCTTCAAACCCAGAAATTTGCCAGAAATACCTGCAAAAGGAGGCAATTTGGTTCGGGGTTCGGTTCAGGTTCGAACCTGGCCTCGAAGGCGCGAACGCCGAACCTGAACCCCGCGTTCGGTTCGGGGACTGGCCGAACCTGAACGCTGAACCCGCGTCCGGTTCAGGTTCGGTTCAGGTTCGGACCAATTTCCGAACCGAACCTTGCCACCACTAGATTACTGTCGCGAGACGCACGGACTCACGAACTCGAGTGGGTCTGAGATGTGTTAAATCGCCCGCCGGTGACATACAAAGATGAAACTTGGGGTGTGCGACGGTACCGCCTGGATGTAAACGAACGGGAACTTTGCACTCCAGATAAACGGCTCAGTAAGCCGGCAGGTAAGTACACGCAATTCCCGCTAGATCAGATTCATAAGCGGTTTGATGATTATAAAGGCCCTCCGGGCATCCCTGGTACCTTCCGTCAAGAGCTTGAAGTCAAAGTTGGTCTAAATTACAGTCTCAGATGTACAGCTCGCTCGGCAAGTCTCGCCCAGCCTCGTGCCTCGGCCGACTCGCCTTTCTCGCGAGCCTTGATGCCGAAGTCATTTTCAAACCCATGTTCTTGTTCTCTCATCTCAGCTATTTTCCTGGACAGAGTAAATGATGGCTGCACAGCCCACACATTTCTCGGCGTCGAGAAGATAAGATTGATAAGTTTCATTGACAACGAAGGAGCGGCCGAAGTACGAGGGGAAAAGGTGTCAAGATATTTCTTGAATCGGACGCCGGGGCATCCACTTATTCTGGTATCCAGCAGCTAATAGGGGTGGTGCCGCCCGCGAGTTCAAATGGTCCGCTCATCTAACTCCATGAGGGTGGCGCCGTAAGGAAGATGAAGAAAGGCAATGTTCTCAACGGCGTGTGCGGTGGGAGAAAAGGAAAAAAGGACAAACCGAGCTTTTTCAGATATATATACTGGCATTGGACATCAAGACGACGGAAACTCACTGGGGATATTTTTTGGCACAGCCAGCAAAAAAGAAACAATATTTCTGGCACAGGACCCCATTCTTTAATTAATTATTTTCGGAAGAGATCAGTTTCATGTGTGATCGTGTAATGATGGGACTTTTTACATTTCGCGTTGGAGACCTGGACCTAAATCGGTACCAGGAACAGGCCAAACGGGTCTGTCATCAAGGAATTTCGGTAAAACTCGGTTAAACGGCACCGAGTTCAACATACATAGTTGAAAAAAAAATCAATGTTGAAAAAAGAAACTTCAAAGTATCATGGCTCATCTGCATGCAGCCATTCTTCTCGCCTGTGTTTATGCGGTGGCCGGAAACACTCCCGTCATCGATCTGGGCTACGCAAAGTATCAAGGAGTCGTCGACACGACCTTGAACCTCACCAGCTTCCGCGGCATTCGTTATGCTGCCCCTCCCACTGGTGTGCACATTTTATTATTCCGCTCCCATCCAGAAAAATCTGACTCCGAGACTTTAAAGGAAAACTACGGTGGCAGGCACCGACCCTGCCGTCCGTTGTGGGTGGAATTCAACAGGCGTATACCGATCCAGTCCAGTGCTTCCAAGGAAATCTGGGCGGCGCCGTTACCAACCCACTTGCGACCCGCGACGATGACCCTCTGCAGCCTGAGGATTGCTTATTCCTCAGGTTTGTAAAATTAATTTGACGCGTCCTCGAAATAATAAATCCCTAGTGTATATTCACCAATTTTGAACCCCACGGTTCCGTTGCCCACACTCGTTTGGATCCATGGCGGAGGGTAATTTAATTTTCCAAGGCTTTCATTTTCGGTCAAGTTGACCGTAAACCAGATACGTCGTTGGCTCCGCGAGCCAGTACAGCGGTGGGGACCTCGTTCAAGAGTCAAACAATGAGATCGTCGTCATTGTGATTCAGTACAGACTCGGGCTATTTGGTTGACATTTTCCCCCCTTTGGTTGCGCAAACTTATGTCATTTACCAGGATTTCTTGCGGGCGAACAAATAAAGGAGGACGGTGCCCTTAACGCCGGGTTGCGTATGTGTTGTTCTTTTAAATGACCCCTCGATTTCCTCACGTGCAAGGTAGTGGACCAGGAGTTTGCTTTGCGTTGGATTAGCAAAAATGTTCGTCCTACACGCTCGCGGAATGAATAACGAACTCATGTTTCTTGGCAGATCCATAAATTTGGGTGAGTCGTATCGTCGTCCTACTTGACTCAATGCCATCGTGCTGAGGATAAACCTCAAGCGGTGATCCCAATAAAGTCACGATCTGGGGACAGAGTGCAGGTTCTTTCCTCCCCTCAAATTGTTTAGGACTCTCCTGAATAATCATTTTCATCCCTAGGTGGTGGATCTGTCCTCCAGCATGTAATTGCACACGACTGGGAAGACAAGTCCCCCGCTCTTCAGGGCCGCGATGACGAGCTCGAGCTTCCTGCCTGCCCAATATCCATACAACTGGGAGGATTCCGCAGGTAATTTCCATGCATGCCGTATAAAATATTATTGCAGGCGCTTTGACTGACACCATCCCAGTCCTCGTTTAATCAAGTCATTGCCCAGGCAGGGTTAGTAGTACACATGCATTTTCAAGTCCAGGCGTTCATTCTTGCATTCTAGGTGTAAAGGCGCAGCCGCCTTGGATTGTCTTCGCACGATTGATTCCGCATCCTTGCAAGACATCAATCTCAATGTCACTGCTGCCGGCTTCCAGGGCACGTTGTAATCGGACATATCCAGAGCTAAAAACTCATTCTGGCGTTGTAGGGACAATCACATTTGGCCCCGTCGTGGACTGGCTCATTTATTACGCAAAGCCCAACAACCGCACTGGCCCAGAGGGAACCTGAACGGAGTATTTAGACATTTTCAGACCTCCTTTGCTGATTCAAACTCATGCTTGAGCAGGAAATTTTACTTTCTGTTACGAACCTTAACGAAGGGTTCATCTTTGTCAACCAGACCGAAGACTACGACGTGGCTGAGTATGTGCAAAACCTCTTTCCACTACTTGGAGTTGAGGAGGTCAATGCGGTAAAATCTTTGTATCGCTCATTTGGATCACCGGTGGCCCAGGTCACTGCAATCTTGGGAGAGTGTCAGTCCCTTTTGGCACATAACGCACAGATACGAACTTGTCTGACTACGCACCTACAGCGGTATTTACTTGCTCGACGTATCTTCTAATCAACGCCTTTGCTGGGAATTCGTACAAGGTTTTCGCAACTTCGTTATCGCTCTTCATTTCTCTGCAACTGATTTCGATTCCATAGGCCCAATACGCGATACCTCCAGTCGTTCCATGGATCGGACGTCGTCAATTACTTCCCTTCCTTCACTGCATTCGACGAGCCGATAATTTTCAACAACACTGGATTTATCAACGCGTTCACGCGGGGGTTCCTTTCCTTCGCAGTTCAATCTGGACCCCAATGTCAAGTTGCGGCCCAGTATCACGCCCTTGTGGCAGAAATGGTCGCCGGCTGCGGAAACGGAGATAGTGTTCAATAAAACAGAGAGGGGACGCGCCTCACATTGCGGCGACTACCACCTCGCGCGCCCTGCAGAGTCGATGCGAGTGAGTTGCCTCTTCTCCACTTACTCTGTAACTCTGGCCTCATGAGTACCCTCGCAGATTTTGGAAGCATGTGCACAACCTTACCGGACATTAGTTTGGAAGTTTTAAAACTTCATCCACTGGCTTGCTAACCCAGCGTTCGTTATTTGCCTTATGATGTTTTTCAAGCAAAACGCCCCTATTAATTTGAACCGTGTGACATTTGATCAACTTCCTTTTCAAACAACCGCACATACAAAAGTTAAACTTGAACTTCGTCCATCCCAGACGAGCTCACAGTTCTTGAGGAACTCCGACTGGAAAAACACTATTTGACGAGCGGTCGCTCCCCTCCAAAATTCGATCAATTGCCGTCGGACTTAAAGGAAAAACCCCTCAGCGCTACTCGTAACTTGAAGCTCGCTTTCACTAATCTTTCGCGCCTCCTTTCCTCGGGAATTCAGCGTCGTCGTGCAACTGCAGTCACTGGCTCTGCCGGGAATGAACACATTTGTCCCATCTTCTCGGAAACGGTAGAAAACAACTCCGTTGCTCGGGTTGAAGTGGTGCTTGACTCGGCGAGTTTGAATGCG